TGAAGCAGGGAGTTCCAGTGGCAGCGAGACAGAGGCCTCTTCTCCATTCTTCTCATTCTTCCACAAGATTCAGTAGATTCTACAGCGAGTGAAAAGATGAATGGCTCTGGCAGGTTGGGTGTGTTGGAGGAGAGTGTCATCAAGCCCAAAATGAGTTGGGCACATAGACTACTTTAGAAACACGAGGTAATGTGAAGAATCCTTTCACTGTTTCTCACAGTTGCGGAAGGTTCCTACGTTGATGTCGTGAAGCTGCAGACCATGCGCTGTCTTTTCGAGGCCTATGAGCATGTTTTATCTCTGTTAGAAAATGTCTTCACACCCATGTTTTGCCACAGTGATGAGGTAAGTCTCCCTGTTCCGGTGTTGTGCTTTATGAGCTGCAGCATTACAGCGTTTCCTTGTTTGTTGATGTTTTCAAATCCAGGCACTAAAGCACAATTAGACTTTTTTTTTTGTGACCATATCCTAAACAAAAGCAAGTATTTTCTTAATAGGGCCATGTTAAGTCGCTGATGTTTTAGTAAAAATACCCTGGACCACTAAAATAATCTGGGGAAATCAACAGATGAATCAAATAAGTTATTTGTTCAGTTGCCATCTGTAACCAAAGGAACCTACATGTCTGCCGATGAATGCTTCAGTAAAATGTCCAACTATATCTCAGGGAAACTACCTTGCTTAGGGGTGTAACAGCTTTGTCCCACCCAGGATTTAAACCTAGAAAAAGCTGGACATATCCATGAGGTTTTAACAAAGGTGTAGTCTGTTTTTCTGCTTATAATATTTCATTGTAGAAGTAATCAAAAATTAAAATAAAAACATGGTACATTTGAATTTGATATGTCAATGGCTATTATTACAAATGTATTATAAATGTATTAAATATTTTTATTATACTTGATAATTGTATTCTTAAGGTCAGTTTATACTTAGAACCTTCTCTAGAGTCTTTAGAAACAGAAAATGTGCTAAAAGCATAAATGTGTATTTTTTGTAGCGGAGTTAAGATAGCACTCAGATAGGCAAGGCTGCGATTGTGAGATATAACATGTTAACACTGTTACACTAAATCTTTCAAATTGGGAATTATCATCAATTGTTGTATTAAGATGATTTGAAAAGCAGATTGTGTTTATCTTTGACGTTTAATGTGTGCCTGATCCTGGCTTTAATTAGGCCTAATAGTAACATTACACTGATTCCAAAACAAGTCAGGCTGTGCATTGTGAATGCTTGACTTGCCAGGCACACACAAACCTCTTCAATGTGTGCAGTCACAAATATATCTTCTGCTGCAGGCTTATTCAGCTTGTTGTTTATAACATTTAATCTTTTACAAAGCAGCAGGGTTGTATCTTCTCATGTGTCTGATCAAGTCTGCCAGTAGAGGGAGAGAAACTAAAATACTTGTTCAGTGGTGTTTTCACAAACACTTTATGTACAGTGGACTGCTTTTCCGAACAGTAGGTGAGGTAAAGAATTAGTGATATTATGGGGAGTGAAGGCAATTGATAAGGCATGCCCACAATCGATATGTTTCTAGGTATGAAATTACCTTGTGCACTGCATGATCCTCTGGTCAGTAACTAGGTAATTTATTATACAGCTGATTGATGAAAAAGAGTAACAGATAAGGTTTAAATTACATTGAAATTTAAGACATCAATAAAGTGTAATTTTGTTTCAGTATTTTAGGCATCTGTTAAGGGGAGCAGAGTCCCCAGCGCGGAATTCAAAACTAAGCAGGTACGTGTTTGACTGTCCTGTTTTACCGTTTGTTGTCCAATATTTAGAATAGAAGGCGACATGGTTGCATAGTGGGTTAGCATCTCTGCCTCACAGCACTGGGGCCCTGGGTTCGATTCCTGGGGTGCTATCTGCGGGGAGTTTGTATGTTCTTCCCCAGTTTGCGTGGGTTTCTTCCAGGTGCTCTGGTTTCCTCCTGCTCTCCAAAGACATATTTACAGGTGAATTGGATTCAGAGAAAATTGGCCCAGACGTGAGTGTGTGTCTGCTGTGTGATGGACTGGTGCCCTGTCCAGGGTGTGCCCTGTCTCGCGCCTGTTGCTTGCTGGGATGGGCTTCGGCTCCCCCGCAGCCCAGAATTGGAAGAAAGGTTTCGAAAATAGATGGATAAGAGTGGCTTGTTGCACGTCAAGCGATAAAGCATGGTTTCTATGGACAAAATCACATGGTCTTCATTTTTTAAAATGGGACTGATCAACACAAACCCATCCCCGAACTTGTAAAAATACAGTATTGGGGTGTATCGTCCTGATACATTTCATTTCCTTTTCTCTGACAGCCTTTTTCAAAAGCGCTGTCGTCTGATCATTTAAAAGTTTGCAGATGATAGTGTTGTTATGATTTCAAGGTCTTAGCCTTACTTAAATACAGGTGCACGAGGCAGTAAGGCAGTTTTCAGAATGACAGAGCTCTGTACTCCTTTTCTCATTGAAATCGACGTGTTTGTCTTATGTGACTGTGTTTGTTTCTTGTCGTGGGGTTAGTATGTGTCCTGGCCTGTTGTAATGCCTTGTGCCTATTATTCCAGAAATAGCCTGAGTTTGGATGACATCCGGTAAGTATGTCACCAGCATGATGCGCGTTAATGTCACTCAGCTGCCTTTTTAACACTGCTCCCAAGATATGTAACTATACTTGCTGGAATGCAGTTTAAACAAACAAGTCTGCCTTTGTAACAAATATTAATGAGTTAAATGGGATTCTTATTTAAACGGATGATGGGAGGGTCGCGCTTGATCCCAAATCACTGTAGTGTGACATGCAATGAGTGTGGCGGGGTCGCTGAGGGGAGGGTGGGGATAGACTCTCTCGGCTCCTGGCAGCATCAGGAAGCTCGGAGGATTGAGGTGCTGTCCGCAAGGGGACACGCCTCCCCTCTAGCCACCTGTACGGTGCCTGTGACGTGCTCAGAAATGAGCAGCTCAAAGGCGGCGGGTCGGAGGAGTCTCCTCACACTTCCTCATTCTCCCCGTTTCTCAGAGCCCTGCGGAGAGACGTGATCTGTGCATTTGGCTGTTCCCAATTAGACGAGCTGACCCAAAGATGTGTACAAAAATTATTTGTTAAAAAAAAAGTTCACACATGATTTGTAAGATAGGCCTAACTTTAACCGTGTGAGACAAGCACAGATTTTATTTTTCGACTGGCTCACACATACACTTTGATTTGTGTATGTGATGCAGTCTCTCCCCGGTTTTGAAGCCTTTTTGTCAGTTTTTGAACATTTTACTTGAAATTGAATCATTTTACACACAGCCATTTTACAAATATTTAAACATTACCTGAATTTATGTGTTTAATTGTTTGGTTGGGATTTCACACAGATTTACATGCATTCCTACAAGAAATCGAGAGCTATCCTTATGTATTTTTTGTTAGTAATAAAACCCTGTTAGACCTTAAAGTTTGCAGTATCTTGACGCTCAAAAAAGAAAACATCAAAAGTAATGAGTGTTTTTTTTCTTCAAATTTGATGTCTTCACTGCGTTTTCATGGATTTTGAGTTTTTAATTTAATTTTGTATTAAATTTTGAGACCACACATCTGTTGAGAGATACTAGCATCTGTATAATATAACCCAGGTGTTTTTGAGCATTGCACTCATTGACAAATGTATATTATGCTAAATTATCTGTATAAAATATATCGATGGAAAATTACAGCGCAGCTGGATTCTGTTTTGAAAGGGGAAGCTAAGTCTTAAGACACATTCTGTTTTGTATGATGGGGTACAAGATTGTAGTAAAGAGCACTACAATCAGAACGGGGAAATTGTGCTCTTTTTGTTGCAAAGGTAGTACTTACGGCAGCATGAGCTTGGAAGCTGGTGAAAAAGGAGTCGAATGCAAGACTTTGAGTGGCTGTGTGGCATCATCCCTGTCTTTGAATGCAGGCCTTTGAGCTAATATATGTCTGTCTTTCTCTCACAAATGATTGCTGCCACTTGGACATATTTGTTTTATACAAAATGGCACTAGCTGTGAACAGGATTACATGCAGGGCTCCGCGCCTTCATCCATAGCACAAGCTGCGGCTGTGAGCCAAGGGCCTTCACCTGCATCCGTTTTCCCTCATGTCCAGTCAGCTCTCACACTCCCATCTGGCATTTTCCCTTCTCTCCCTGCTGCTTTAAAGTAAGTCAGGGTCCATTACAAACCACGTGCCCCCCCCTTCACAGCGCATGGGTCTTTGTAATACGTGCCATTTACAGACTTGTGTTTGTGTGTTTGCTCAAGCATGATTCCCTGCACTAACGAAGGGTGTCTTTTGGACATCTTACTGAATATGTACATTTCCTTACCCTTTGCAATTTTTTAAAATTTTCACCTTCCACGTGATTTGATTTGACAAAAAGGGTAACACATATACCATTTTTGTCATTTTTTATACTTTGTCATTTCTCCTATTTATATTTGAGAGATTATAGTGAATGGGGTTAGGTTTTACATTTCCCAGTGAAGGAATAACAGTGCACTAGATCTATGAATAGTGTACTAAAATTGTAAATCTTGTTCATTAACCACTGAAAAATATTGATCCCCTGTCCATTTAGTAAGTTGTATGTTTGTCTTTGTGTTATTTTGTCATTGGTGTCCTCTCCATTTTTGTACATATAAAGCTCAGATTCTTAGCATAAGTGAACTGTAAGATGTAAGTGGGTTGTATTATCTGTGAAGTAATATATGTCTGATATGAGAACAGATGACAGAGTCCAAGAGATGTATAGATAACTGTCTCAATCTGAATACTAGCTTTTGTTCTTAACCTGCCTTTTGTTGAGTTCTCACGTGTTGCACAAATTCTCACTTTGCAGCATAGTGACCTCTGCTGGGAGTGTTTCTAACAAACATAAAGTTAGATTAGTTACAGTACGTATGTGTGTTTTTTAATCATATAGTAAATGAATAGTAAATCCTGTGTATTTTCATGAAGACGAGATCTGTTGTGGAAACAATAGATGAAAAATCACTTCCCCATGCTGTTTTTCCTTGACGTCAATGGCTGACCTCAATTACACGAAGTTAGTGAGCGCTGGATTAAACAACTACAGTAAGCAAAGTCAGTATTCATGGAGTTTGAAACCAATTACCACGAGGGCCCTGTCAAATACTGTATGGATATAGGATACTATAGCAGTTACCTAACAGAAAACAGAATTGATCCTGTAGTACATAGCATAGACTTAAGTGTTATGGGAGTTCAAACCATCAATACGTCTGAGTGCTAAAAATGTCTGTGAGCTACCCACTAATGTTTATGCTCCAGAATAGTTTTCTAATATAAAAACCTATCATTAAAACCATTATTTCCTAAACTGAGATGTTCAGGTGATGACAATTGCATCAGATTAACATTCTTATTTTTCCCATGAATAGAAATTTTGTACTTATGGTTGATGTTAATTATGTATTATTATTTCTAAATTATCCTTACAATTATAATTATATTATTTTCTTTGAAACATATGAAATTGTTTCCTTTGAACTTTTTAATAGCTCTAAATAGAACAAAAGAACAGTTTCAATTGAGAGGAGGCAAGTCTAGCCTTGCTTGTTTGGTAGTTAGTATAGTTGATTAAGGTATTGCCTTTAACAACATACCTGGGCAGCATGTCTGTACTTCCACAGCTCATTGAGCAGTTTATTGTCAAGAACAGAAGCATTGAGAACAGAATCATTCTAAAATATAAAATCTTTCGTAACTGTTACATATTATAGAAAAGTGTTTTAATTCAAATCAAGCATGAATAAAATATATTTTTCAAAGTATTTTTAATAAAAGTTCAATTTTATTTCAAATAGCTAGTCGTTACCGTTAACATAAGTTATGGTAATTTTCACGTCTATTGGAGAGTGGTTTTCTTATACAGTAGATATTTGTGAATTTGTGACCATTTGCAAATTTGGCTTATTCACAATTTGGTCTGGCCGACGGTTGAAGAAGAGTGGGGAAAATATGAAGCCGAGCTGAAAGTTGATTATCGCAACTTTCAATTTAGCAGTGCAACAGACTAGGATCCGTGACAAATGTAGCCAGTGAGTGAGCTTCTCCCAGCTACTTGCCCAAGTACACACTACCCAGCATTCGCATCTCAAAGTCGGCTTGTTTTTGTATTGCATCGAACACTCCAGGTTCAGTGTCAGCAGAGTGGAGAATGACAGGCTGGAGACGACGCTACAGGCTCACTGACCGTTTCACTGCCCATTTCATTACAGTGGGGCATGCTAATCACGGAGGCAGAGAGCAGAGAGAGAGTGGGCAGGCATCCGCTAGACACAGAGGAGGGATTCATGTTTATTTTAGCTGATTATTAAACTTTTTGTAGTTACTGTTATTTTTTGTAGTTTATCAGTGTTAGTTTAAAGCAAATGCATTAGTTCTGTACTTATAATATCAAGTAAGTGGTACTTGTGTCATTTAACCACACGTGCCATATACTGTAGTTCATTATGCAACGGTATATGTGTGAACTTTGTTATATGTGAATTTGTCTATTTGCGATAGTTCTCTCCATCTAACTCTTGATCAAACTGTTCAGACTCAGCTGCACTTTAATATGTTGGTGGCATTTTATTTATTTCTTTATTGTTGTTGTTGTTATTGTTTATTTGTTTGTCATTCATTACTGGAACTTGAAGTGTCTTAGCCCTTACTTTTGCTCTGCAGTTAAAGTTGTTCATTTAAGTTATTCAGATGGCTGAGTTGCAGCTTAAGTAACATGTATTGTAGAATGCTTTTTGTATTATATTTTTAATGTTTAGAGTATGTGTCTGGAGATCGTGTATTAAATACACCTTGTATAAAAAGTTTGGGCCTAGTTCTTTGGTTTTGAGCAGCGATAATCATTGCATTAAATTGATTGAATGATGATTAGATGCTATTTTAAGAATCAACATGTTCTCTCAGATTTAATTATTTGGATGTTCTGAAGGTACATCACTCAATATAAACGTTAGATCCTCTTTGAAGTATCGTTTCAATGCTAAGGTTCTTAGCATTCAAATGTTAGTTGTAAAAATGTTGTAAATCTTTTAGTAGTGTGATGGGTATATATTGCTTATAGTGTGCACTAAGAGTCTGCAACTGTCTTCAGAAGGTGGACGTCGAATTATATACTGTATAAAACAAGACCTTTAGGTTCCTGCCTGCTGCTTACAGATCGTCGCCTTCCTGTTGGCTGTGCTTTGCTCCCATTATGCATGTGTGATGTATTTGGCGTTTCTTGCTGAATGTGTCAAGTCTCGCCGACATGCTGACAGTGGTTGTGTTGTATTTAATGTTTAGAAATACCTCTAAACGTGGGGAGACCTTTGGAATCAGCCGCATTGGCAGTAAAATAAAGGGCGTCTTTAAAAGCACAACTATGGAAGGTGCTATGCTTCCATCCTCTGGGTTAGCAGAAGGGGAAGATGACATGGTAAGTTGGAGTCTTACTATGATCTTGCTGTTGTTATACCCCTAAATAATACACAAAAGGACTGTAACAATTACACCAATGGTTTTTTTTTTGTATTTTTGTATTTTTCTGACATTCTAATACTTTTGTCAGGTAACAATAATTTGTAGTTTTTATTACGTCCTGGTGTGTGCCTAAAACTCAGGTATAATTCAGGACAAACGATAGAGTTGATCTGAACGTTGGCTGGGGACCCATAGGCCTTAGTGTTGCCTGTGAATAACAAACCTTTGCAAAGACCTTTGTCATTCCACAGTGTCGCGGCTCACTGCAGTCCGAGGTGAGTTCGTATATTGGGAAGACAATAACCCTAACCCTCATGTGCAGACGTATTGTTTCATGGCTGTGATTTGCCTGCAGGTTGAAGAAGCCACCATGGTGATGGAGGATGACTCCCCGGTGGAGGCGATCAGCACTCCCAGCACGCCCCGCAATCTGTCTGCCTGGAAGATCACCATCCCCTACGTGGACCTGTTTGATGACGAACTCAAGAAAGAGAGATTTCCAGTGTTCTGTATCGATGTGGAGCGCAATGACAGGAAAGCAGGTAAGGGGGGAGACCCCAATGCATTTCAGTCTGAGAACGTGGAGTTTCTTGTGTTTACCAGTGATCTATGTGTTTCACGTTATTCTATGAATAATCATAGCGGTTTAATAGAAATAACAGCAAGTTAATCCTTCTTCAAATTGCATCCATTTTCTACCCACTTCTTCCAATTCAGGGTCATGTGGGAACTGCAGCCTGTCCCTGCACACATACATTGAACCCAGGACCCCAGTGCTGCAAGACAGCAATGACAACCACATTTGAATAAAACTGCATGATATTGAAATCGCATTGTAAAACACTGTGCCCTGTTCATGGACTCCTCATGTACAGACTCCACGTATTTGAGGTCCAGATATGTGTTTTATAAAATTTACAGTTCTTGTTACATATTTTGTGAATACCCTCTTGTATGCTGTTACGTGTATAGCTTATAACTGCTGTGTATAAATGTGTAACCTTCATGTATCCAATCTGTCAGGTTATACTGAGTGCTGTCAATAGAGTGAAGTATAACAGAGGAGAGACACTTAGGCGTAGTAAACTGACACACTGGAAAGGAAACATGATGAGAGCGGGATTTATTTTTTAGTGGGTGGTGGTTCCCAGTCCTGGTTGTGGTGACCCACACACCTGTTGGTTTTTGTTCCAGTCAGTCCCTCAGCTACACAATCAGAACATCATTAATTTAATAATAAGATTCACCTGCGCTGTTTGTTCCCAGTTCATTAACGTGTTGGAGCTGTAACCGTTGTGTTTTCTAGGTGAAATAAAATCCAATCCCTCTAGTCCAGAAACTCCAAATTTCACAAGCTTTTTTTTTTAAATCACCTCTTTCAGTGCAGATATTTTCATATTTTGTGCCTGGCATTTTTTTCCATCCTAACCATTTTGGGAGTAATTTTCGACAAATCAGTGCAAATGATCATCAGTGGTGTTGTGATAATTACCTCATCTTAAATGCCTTTGTGATGGAAATTTAAGGAAAACATTATTAAATGTTGCAGATTAGCATAGAACATTGATAGTCAAGGAATATGTTTGTTTAGTAGTCCTTTGGCATTTTATTTATGAGAAATGATTGTAGGATTTATCAATATTTTTGCATTGAAAACAACTATTTCAACTATATGTTTTTTGCAGCCATTTGTGTGAAATGTATTTTATTTATACACTTATTATAAAGAATAATAAGTGTTTATGATGTGTTTTGCAACCCCTAAAATTGAGTGCTTTTAAATTTATAACAACAACAAATAATCAGATTAACTACTAAACACACTTTTGGTATTAAACTGCAAAATTAGTTTTCAAAAACTGATTTTACA